ATGTAGGAGTGAATCATGTGACCAGAACCTGAGATGTAGGAGTTAAGCATGTGACCAGCACCTGAGATGTAGGGGTGAATCATGTGACCAGCACCTGAGATGTAGGAGTGAATCATGTGACCAGCACCTGAGATGTAGGAGTGAATCATGTGACCAGCATGTAGGAGTGAATCATGTGACCAGCACCTGAGATGTAGGAGTGAGTCATGTGACCAGCACCTGAGATGTAGGAGTGAATCATGTGACTAGCACCTGAGATGTAGGAGTGAGTCATGTGACCAGCATGTAGGAGTGAATCATGTGACCAGCACCTAAGATGTAGGAGTGAATCATGTGACCAGCACCAGAGATGTAGGAGTGAATCATGTGACCTGCACCTGAGATGTAGGAGTGAGTCATGTGACCAGCACCTGAGATATAGGAGTGAATCATGTGACCAGCATGTAGGAGTGAATCATGTGACCAGCATGTAGGAGTGAATCATGTGACCAGCACCTGAGATGTAGGAGTGAATCATGTGTCTAGCACATGAGATGTTCTATTGATTTCCAATGACAGTGCTGTAGCAATATATTGCCACTGATATGAGTACTCAGTGCTGAAACAGTGGTTACTGAGTATTGAAGCCATGTGTACTGAGTGCTGAAGCTGTGGGTACTCACTGTTGAATCTGTAGGTACTCAGTGTTACTTCAGTCGGTTCTTGGTGTCACTGCTGTGGGTACTGGAGCTTTTGGTAAGCGATAACGTTGATGTGGGTGGGTACTCAGCCTTAGCAGTGGGTACTCAGTATCACTGCTGTGCGTGCTTAGTGCTCAAACTGTGGTTGCAAAGTGTCACGAATGTTGGTACTCAGTGCTGAAGATGTGGGTACTCAATAACACTGCTGTCGGTACTAAATACCAGTATAATGCCACTAATGTGGGTATTCAATAGCACTGCAAAGGGTATGTTTGTCAGTACTCAACCTTACTGTATTTATAGTAGTACCACTACCATGTGAGGATACCACTACCATGTTAGGATACCACTACCATGTTTGGATACCACTATCCTGTGAGGATACCACTACCATGTGAGGATACAACTACCATGTGAGGATACCACTACCATGTGATGATATCACTATCCTGTGAGGATACCACTACCATGTGAGAAGACCACTACTATGTGAGGATACCACTACCATGTGAGGATACAAAGACCATGTGAGGATACCACTACCATGTGAGGATACCACTGCCATGTGAGGATACCACTACCATATTAGGTTACCACGACCAAATGTATCATTATGCCATTACACATCTCAACGATACAGGTGACAATTAAATCGACACAATGCATATGGTGTTTATCTTCCGATCTTTCTTCAGGTACTGGACTAATTGATTATGTTTGCAATTATCATCCATATAGACGTCTCACGAAATCACTCTCCCTGTTGAGTCACACAGATAATTTACATCTTTACTCTAAGACGATCAAGACAGACACACACAAACATGCAAAGCAACCCGTTTCTACCCAAAACGTCAATACGTTTCCCCCGCGTCATCATTCCATTCGTTCATTATATCTTTCACACCAACAATCGTTCGCACCAACATACCCTGAATAAATACACATTATAACACTACCCCCTCTGCCCCAAGCTAATATTATTTGCTTCAAATAATTAACTAAATCTCCACCTCCAACATTTTCAGGGTTGTATATTCTTTCATCTCACTTTCCGTTAATCACTGGCATTAATCCAACCCCTTACTGTGAGGGTGTCGGAATCTCAAAGAATGCACAACCAACACGATTGCGGCTAGATATCACAGTATCCTTTGTTTCTCTTCAAACGCGCCCCTAGTCCCACATCAACCTGTTTGCTTCCACTCCAACTTTCAACTGTCCTCCGCATTCATCCCTACACACCACCTTTCTCTCGCTCACAACACAGCCACTGTCACCCGACCAGTCGCTTCCCTTGTACCCTCGTTCACTCCGTACAACAACATACACGTCAACACACCCGGCCTCGCTTCTCACTACATGATACATACCCAACGCAGTGATCCGTTCCACGTATTCACCTTTCATACACATTACATTACCACACTTACCTCTTATCAGAACTTATAACTGTTGTAACTCAAGTTAGAACAGTCGGAGTGGCTAGAGTGGAAGGTGTTACTGTTCAATCGAAATATTAAAAACTTACGAAACTATGACAAGGCTTTGTATATTTAAAAATATATACATGTTTACATATAAAAACATTTTAAAACGTGTTTCTAAAGCACCACCAGTTATTCTATTGCTAAAACATTGTACTCCGCTACCAATCAAATTCACAATGGATAATCGAGCAACAAGTTATTTTCACCAGCGCGCGAAAATTACATTTCCTACTGGTATCGTCTTACATGAACCGAACAAAACAACACGTGCATAAAGATACGAATGTGGGTATCTACGTTCTAAACTCATAGCTTGTCCTTGAGATGTTGCAATTTTCTATTCCGGGAGTAGTTAAAAAAACAACATGTAGGCCTGTAACTGACTTTGCATTTCTTCCCGCAACAATTAGGACAGTTGATTTCTGGCGTGAGAACTTAAAAATTACGGTAAAACTGCTGATATAAAGTAGCTGATTTATGGAGCAATGCAATCAAGATTAAACTTTTGATATAAATTTAACATTTAAAAAGCATGTTGCTAACGAAATAGTTTATTTATTTTAGCTGATCACTAGCACAATCTGGATCTGAAATGAAGATGTGAGTCATGTGATTAGAATTTAAACGTAGGGGCTAGTCATGTGACCAGCACCTAACACGTGGGGGTGACTCATGTGACCAGCATATTATATATAGTGACGAGGTTTTTTTTACCAACATATGAGATAGGTCACAAGCATATATAAATTATATTAAAAATAAAATGAAAGCATAGCATACTACACAAAATCTATGTTGCTCAGCCTTCTAACATATGGGATGTGTTAATAACTGTATTATTTATAAGACATAGATTTCTGATGCCCCATATAGAGAAGATTAAAATATTTATTTTACTTTCTCAAATACAAGATACAAGCATAACCCTTTAGTCAAGTTGTATCTAATGTGTAGTACGTTTAATAAAATGTTCATAAAATTGACGAACTTTAAAAAAAAAATTTCTTTGTTTGTAAGCTTGTTGTAGTATCAATATAAAAAAACCCTGTAAGGTTTACTGCTATACATATTTACTTTGAACTAAATTTTGACATTTATTGGGTTATGGTACTATCCTCTAGTAAAGAAAGTATTAGTTAATATTAAGCGACGCATAGTTAATTTTGGTATGAAAAATGAATTTTAAAAATATACATTTTTATTTTCATGCAAATGCTAAGCTTACTCGTCCTTGTAAGATTTCTTTTGGTTTGGGTATAAACATTTGTTTTTTTATTTTGAGAACTACTTTTTTAAATCGTGGGAATGAAAGATTGACATACTTTCTTTCTGCAGGGTCACAGGTTGCCTTGACATGTACACACTCGTATGTCTGTTATGTAAAGGCCAAGTCTCCGGTGATATAATCTAGACAGCTGAGCTCTTATCTTGATGCTTGAGTTGTTTTTACTCCTTGCACGTCACGTGATATTGGTGTAAAGCTGAGTTCCCACACCCAGGCAGATTTTTAAAAATACGTCGGTTTATTCAAATCTAGTGATTCTCAAAATTGTATTGGTTTCCTTTGTATTTGTATATGTTTTTTTTTGTTGAATTACATAAAACCGTTGTGTGGTAATTCAGATTAAAACTAGTTCTTCTATTTGTGCGTCTGTTGCTTTTTAGGTGAGTTAAATATTTAGAGGCTAAATTTTGGTCCTAGGACCTTTGACCACAGGTGCTTTGACCATAGGGGGTTTGACCATAGGGGGTTTGACCATAGGGGGTTTGACCATAGGGGGTTTGACCATAGGTGCTTTGACCATAGGGGATTTGACCATAGGTGCTTTGACCATAGGGAGTTTGACCACAGGTGCTTTGACCATAGGGGGTTTGACCATAGGTGCTTTGACCATAGGGGGTTTGACCACAGGTGCTTTGACCATAGGGGGTTTGACCATAGGTGCTTTGACCATAGGGGGTTTGACCATAGGGGGTTTGACCATAGGGGGTTTGACCACAGCGGAGCTTTGACCATAGGGGGTTTGATCATAGGGTGTTTGACCATAGGTGCTTTGACTATTGGGGGTTTGACCATAGGTGCTATGACCATAGAGGGTTTGACCATAGGGGGTTTGACCATAGGGGGTTTGACCATAGGGGGTTTGACCACAGCGGAGCTTTGACCATAGGGGGTTTGATCATAGGGGGTTTGACCATAGGGGGTTTGACCACAGCGGGGCTTTGACCATAGCAGTGCTTTGACCATAGGGGGTTTGATCATAGGGGGTTTGACCATAGGGGGTTTGACCACAGGTGTTTTCTCAGCAGAGTCTTTGATCACAGTTCCGCGCACCAAAATTTTCTGCCTTATGGCTTGTTACCATTTAGTTGTATTTTAAAACAACCGATTTCATCGCCATGTTTTTTTTTAGTATCCACCTTTATAAAAAGATAGTTGACATACATGCCCCCTACATGTAAAATAAAAAAAAAAGTACAAATGATATTCAATAAAGTCTTAATGATAATTTATTTTTTCCTTTAAAATACTTTATCTGTATGCTAAATTAAATAAAATAGAAAAAAAAACAAGGTACACAAAAACCACTTCTAAAATAAAAAGTCGGGCTCTTAAAATGTAGTCATTTTTTAAAATGTGAGATCCATGAGCTTTATTGACGTTTCAGCATATTTTTTTAACGTGGGAAATTCGGTGAAGGCAGTATCACATACACTTTTATCAACTCGCCTTAACCCTAACGTTTTTTTTTTTTTTTTTTTTTTTTTTTTTTTGTTTCAACGCCATTTTTTGGTATAAATAGACGGCGATATCGTCACAAGTAAACAGAAGCAGCGGTTTAGAGAAGTCTCCAGTTCGTGTGATACAGAACTACACAACTCTACAATGTCAGCTGTTTTAGTGACGGCTCTGTTGGTTGTAAATATCATGTTCACCTGTGGTAAGTAAATTTGTATATAAATGCAACGCAAATGAGATGGAGATATTTATTTTTAATTATCTGTGATTTTTTTTAGGTAACAATTGTTTGTTTTTATTTCCACTTATACGAAGTATAGAGGAAGTATTGCAATCGTGCAAAAAATCGAAAAAGATATTTTCACAAATCTTGACGTTTTACTCCTCCTAAGTCGGAAAAACATAGTTTTGCAATTGTTTCCGTATGTATGTACGTATGTGTGTATGTGTGTATGTGTGTATGTGTGTATGAGTGTATGTATGTATGTGTGTATGTATGTATGTGTGTATGTGTGTATGTGGGTATGTGTGTATGTATGTATGTGTGTTTGTGTGTATTTGTGTATTTGTGTATTTGTGTATGTGTGTATGTGTGTATGTGTGTATGTGTGTATGTGTATATGTGTGTATGTGTGTATGTGTGTATGTGTGTATGTGTGTATGTGTGTATGTGTGTATGTGTGTATGTGTGTATGTGTGTATGTGTGTATGTGTGTATGTGTGTATGTGTGTATGTGTGTATGTGTGTATGTGTGTATGTGTGTATGTGTGTATGTGTGTATGTGTGTATGTGTGTATGTGTGTATGTGTGTATGTGTGTATGTGTGTATGTGTGTATGTGTGTATGTGTGTATGTGTGTATGTGTGTATGTGTGTATGTGTGTATGTGTGTATGTGTGTATGTGTGTATGTGTGTATGTGTGTATGTGTGTATGTGTGTATGTGTGTATGTGTGTATGTGTGTATGTGTGTATGTGTGTATGTGTGTATGTGTGTATGTGTGTATGTGTGTATGTGTGTATGTGTGTATGTGTGTATGTGTGTATGTGTGTATGTGTGTATGTGTGTATGTGTGTATGTGTGTATGTGTGTATGTGTGTATGTGTGTATGTGTGTATGTGTGTATGTGTGTATGTGTGTATGTGTGTATGTGTGTATGTGTGTATGTGTGTATGCGTGTATGTGTGTATGCGTGTATGTGTGTATGTGTGTATGTGTGTATGTGTGTATGTGTGTATGTGTGTATGTGTGTATGTGTGTATGTGTGTATGTGTGTATGTGTGTATGTGTGTATGTGTGTATGCGTGTATGCGTGTATGCGTGTATGCGTGTATGTGTGTATGTGTGTATGTGTGTATGTGTGTATGTGTGTATGTGTGTATGCGTGTATGCGTGTATGCGTGTATGCGTGTATGCGTGTATTCGTGTATGTGTGTATGTGTGTATGTGTGTATGTGTGTTTGTGTGTATGTGTGTATGTGTGTATGTGTGTATGTGTGTATGTGTGTATGTGTGTATGTGTGTATGTGTGTATGTGTGTATGTGTGTATGTGTGTATGTGTGTATGTGTGTATGTGCGTATGTGTGTATTTAGTGATTTCCGGTAACCAGAAGTTGAACTTATTCTACTTTCAATTTTTCAAAAGCCTATAACTTGATTACCGTTTTAGATAGATAAATAAAATTTCAAATGTAAGTAAAAGTTCACATTCTCTGCTTTTTGTCAAATTCTAAGTAATTTCTGATGTTTGGAAGTAGTAATTTACGCTTTTTCTAATTTCTCAATAAGAATTTATAAAGTATTAATATTCCGAACTATTATTCAGATATTTTTAGCCGTTCACTTGATGGGCAATTATTTTTTTACGAGATACTTTTTTATTTTTAAAAGTTTATGAAATTAAAAATGGTGTTGTCGTTCCCCGTAGTGTTATTTAATAATACTGGAGAAAGTTTAAGGGAGATCGCTCCCAATTTATTTCATTTATAAATTTGGTAATGATTTCGCTTAAAAAAACAATATTAATAATATTATCATCCATCATTTTTTTCTGGATAAGATTCGCTACACTTAACAAGGTAGAAGTTTATGGGGTTTTAGAGATGTTTGTTTTCCTATGATGCGCTGCTGTCTCTAGCTAATGTACTTCGTTAGACCAGTGACCGAGCTTGAAACTAGCTAATTGTAAATTACTTGTTTTAATCCAATTTCTATTTTTTTTTTAAAGCGTATACATTTAGAATTTAGGGTGCTGCCGTTTGTTTTACGTTTGAGAAACTATATTTAAACATTAAAAGGCATAACATAATTTCTTTTAATTAAATTTTTAAAAATTCTACCAGTGAACGCTTAAACCTAGTTTTGTATTTATTTGTGTATATGTTAATTTGTAAGTAGCGTGTTAACACAAACGTCGATAAAAAGACCTACCTTTTTTCAATTATTGGCTTTGTCCAAGTAATTTAAATAAACTAACACATATTGAATAATAATTTACCGATGATTACAATAATACCATTTGTTGTACATAATTTCAGTTTTATGTTTTAATTTTTTTTATTTTTTTTTTGCAATTAATAAATAGATTTCTTTGGAAATAATTTACAATGAAGAAATTGAAAAAGAAATGATTATTTGAAGGCTGTTGTGCTTGAAGTGTATTAAAAGAAAGTAATTCTTGATTAATTTAATTTTCCAAATTTTATTGGTTTATTTTAATATATTTCAGGACTTGACATTTCATTAGAAAGAGAATATTATATGGAGGGTAAAGATTTATTTTGTGGCAAGTTACATTGTGTGGAGAACACAAGAGAAGATAATGACATCTCAGCTCTTGTCAACATGTCAATCTATAAGATCAGTGAATTAGAGGGGAAAATTGTGTTGGCGTATTTTTCAGAGTCCGATTCAAGAGTTCGAGATTATAAAGTAGCTGGGTCGAAAGTTGATGGAAAGTTTTCAAAAGTGTTTGGAGAATTGACCGTATCATTTACAAAACCTTCTGATTGTTTTAGTACAGTGTTTGGATGTGATGTGTATTACACAAATAAAAGAGGTCTCACTGAGATGAAAGAAAATAAAACCAAGCCTGTTGACCAAGACAATTTTAAGCCACTGATGTTGATGACCTTAGAGGCTAAAACTCCAGAGTTTGATAAAACAATTGATAGAATGTCAGATTTTTTAAAAACATTTAAATATTCAGATAAGTTAAACAGAGCTGACTTGAAGGTGAATTTACAATTTTTAACAGACCACAAACGTTCTAACATTAGTTATCATAAAACAAATATAACAAAGGAGAAGGGTGATGAATCTCTGGTTAACCTTACTAATGCGATGGAAAGTAGATTAAATAGCTTGTTATCTGCCCAAGGATCTACAATTCAGAGACTTGAAAATCAAATGAACAACGTTGTTAACAGATTGAACACCTTAAATAACACAAATCAAGAGCTCACGCATTTTAAATAAAACTTCACTGAAAGCTTTCTAAAGACAATTCAACAGATACAAGCAAACAATAACACACTTGAAAAACAAAATAGGTCGGTACAAAATGTAACAAATCTATACATTGTTTTACAAAAACAACTGGAGAAACTGAATAATAGTGTGGTTAATGTATCACTCGATGCTCAAACTTTGTCTCAAAGGTTAAATAAAAGTGAAATTTTAACAAAAACCATGCAAGATTTCAAAAAAGATTTACAAAATTTAACTAATGAAATGTTAAAAAATAGCACAGCGATAATTGAAAGTCAACATATAAGCATTCAACAATTGTGGAAAAGCTACAAAAACCTGTCAGAGACACAGTCAAAGTCAGTGAAGGATTTAAAATCAGCTGTATCACTACTAAACAATACTGACATCGATATACACGCCCATACGGAAAAGATGAACAATACCATTCAAAACCTGATTACTAAATCAGATCAAATTATTTTTCTAGTCAGTAGAGTTCATGGATTTAATGGCCGTATGCTCATCGAAAGCGAATACGTAAGTTAAATATAATTTGTATAGGATCAAAATCTGCTATGTCCCGATTTGAAATTTTCCAGTTCCGCCATAAAATTTGGCAATGCTCCCAAGTAGTTAAAAGTTAAAGTTTTTACTTAGGCATAGCATGTTTTCGAATTAGCCTTACATTAATACCTTTCTTAGTTGCGCCAAAAGTAGAAAAACAAAAATGTTTTTAAATATTTTTAATATTCAGATAATATTCTGGCCAATGTTAGCGGGTTATTATTTATTTTAAAAGAAAATTGCAAAATCAATACATATTTATAAAAGTATGATTTAGTCGAATGTCTTTAAAATAATAATTTCACCACTTTTTACTTCTGCTACTGCTGTACCAGGAGCTTACGTTTACAGAAATTAGTTCCTTGTCTCGACAATGTTTAGAAAGTAAACAATATATTAATTTGGCTATCTTTGTGAAATAGATTTAACACATACTAACAATAGTTCTGCGAATATAATTATACTTATACCTATACATATACAAACACGCACAAACAGATATAAATATATGAATACATTCATACATGTGTATGTATGTATTCTTCGTAATTGTGTGGTATGTGGCGATAATGTTGATATAGTTAATACAATATAATTATTTATAAAGTAAAGATAAATGTTTAGCTGTCTGAATAGACGTATATATTTTAATTTCATTCCGTTTCAACTAATAATAATAAATAAAAATATTGGAAATGAATTTGATTCCAGTTAAAATGCGCCATTATGAACGATCGTGTTTTAACGGACATGACAAAGGTTGGAGTAGATGTCAAAAGAACATTGTGTGATAACAAGACAGACGGTGGAGGATGGATTATTATTCAGGTTTATTTGTCATTTTTCTTAGCCATTCACCATTTTCCCGATATATTTTCTAACTGTTTTGATATATTTATTCTATTGGAAACAGATGTATAATACACAATGATAGACACTTAGCTACACATTAAAAAATATATAATAGTTTAATACGTAGTGTTTATATAATATATTTTATCTATTTGAAATTACGATGACTCTAAAATGTTTTATCTACATAAAAAGACATTAGCTCTTGTTGTTTTATAGTTCAGGTAAACTGCAGATTAATATTCTTATTGGTTTACCCGAAGTCAGGTGACCAGTCCACAACAGAATTGTTAATATATCTCATCGTTTTGGGGAGAAAAGCTGAATCTAATAGTCTTGTTTATTTTGTTGATCTGAATAAAATTTAGGATATTAAAATAAAATAGACAAAATCAGATTATGTGATAAACTACAATAGTGTTTAGTGCATTTTTTAAGACTATGTATTTGTAAAATATCCTTTCTGTTGTATGTATAAAATTGGGGATTTATTTGGTTTCGAGTTTGAACAGAAGCAAACGTCAAAGTTTATCTCGTGATAGTTGTAACTGTCTAATACACAAAGTATTGGAAATATTTTAGAGAGTTAATGTGAAGTATATTAGGTCTTATAAAGTAATGACTGTTTTGATTTTATGTAAATTGTTTATTGTATGATATAACTAGAATCCGAATATATTTCAAAGATATTTAAGCCTTAGAATAAATCAAATCAACTCACATAACCGTAGTTTTATAAATGCTATTATTTCGTAGAGAAGCGTTTTGATTATTTAAAACGTTTAAAATGTTATCTCGAGCGTAATTTGAAGCATAATTAATCTTTGGAATCAATTATATCAACTTGCTATGACTTTATTGTAGCGGTGCCATTTATTTTTCTTACAGAGACGTATCAAAGGTGATGTGAACTTTACAAGAACTTGGAACGATTATAAAAACGGATTTGGTTCAACATCTGGAGACTTTTGGATCGGAAATGACGTAATTTCTCACTTGACAGATTCGGTAAGGAAATAATGGCTACTTAAAAAATATGGACGGAAACTGAATTTTGTACTACACAATGTACATGGCATCACTTAATTTCTTATTCTTAAAAAAATCACTTTATTCGATACATGTATACTCTAGCTTGTTAGTTTGCCTTATGTGATAACTGTTTCCCAAAACACGGGGTCGTTTCAACATCAATTTTTCACTTTGATCATAATTTCTTCTACGTGATTTTCAACAAAGTATCTACTTTAAAATTTAGTACTTGCATTGGCGATTAAATACGTTGTAGTAACTAATATGACACGGGTAATTACGTACAAAACTCGCTTTTTTGGATGAGTGATTTATATATTTTACTAAAATAAAATATTATCTGACAAACTATAATACATTATCTCAATTGACACAACTTGCACGTATACAACTGTTAAAGGTAGTCTTTTAAAGGAAAAAAAAACATTTTATCTTACTATCGGTAAACAAAAGTCTTGTCCAATTCATTGCAAGATATCATATTATTTATATTATTATATGATCTCTGATTTGTAGATGAGATACACTTATTTATTTTTTAATATCTCCTCTAGTAATAATGTTTTGATTTTAACTTCGTGGGTCAAGGAAACCCGAGGATAGAATATTACAAATCTCGCCTTCCCACCTTCTTAAATTATCCTCAAGTCATTACCCCTATATCATTTCCTCAGATTAACTACCCCTGTCAATTACTCCCACTCAACAAACAAAATGCAATAGGACACTGACCCATTTTATTATTCAACGGACACCAGTACATAGAGAAATGGATAAAATGGTTAGCGATATGTAAAGCTTAGGGTTATGAATAGGAGATGGATAGGAATGGTAACATGTTGAAATTTAAAGGAGAGGACAGTAAATACAGAACTAGAGTAATACATTTTAGGGAAGAGGGTATTATTGACTAGCAGTGAATACCTGATTAGGTAGGTGAAGGACGTTGTACTACAATTGGGATTCATACGTTCGTTTAATCTAGATATTTCTTGGAAGAAAATATATTGATGTGTTATTATCATTGCGGAACCAGAAAAAAAAAGTTTTTGTAGCCTCCTTCAATTAATTTTTAATCATCTATTTCCTGAGTAATTAAAAAAATTACATTGAAATGTGTAACTATACTGAGATAACAAACCAGATACTATAATGTCCAAACTAATTTTGGGCCTAATGTAATCGTGTTTTATAATTTTAAAGCAAATACTGTAACATAACATGCCGTTTAGGGGGATATTTACAAGGTAGTTAGAGTGGTGCATATGGTATAATAAATAAATAGATAAATAAGTAAATAAATACATAAAATACATTGGGTTTAAAGCATGTTGGTTAAATAAAAGTGGTCAAAGGCTGGTTTAGAACATTTTATTAATAAACGAGGGTGAAAATTATAACATATAGTAGAATAGTCGAAAATAAAGTAGGTTTACGTGGATTTCATCCCATTTTGTACCCAAAAACACACGTTTACAATCGTAGAGCCCGGTCGAATTATTTACGGCTATTAGGGGCAGATAATCTAGGTTTTAAACTATGTAAAAATAAGGGGAAGTAATAACAAGCTCTGCTTGATCTTTTCAAATCAAAGCTGATGTTCTGGTGGGTGGGGGTATGGTGAGGTCGTTGGGGGGGGGTCTGAAAAGGTTGGTGTGCTAGAGATTGAGTGGGAGGGGATAAAGTGTGGTGCTTCAGTGTCGATGTACATAGTCGTAGCTAAGATTATTTGACCGCTGAGTACCGACATGTTTTGGGTGGGTAGGCGTGAAGCTATAATGATGAGTGGGGATACGTTGGAGTTTTAAAGGTCAAAAATTAGATAGCAATGTTCTCATGAAAGAATTTGAAGCTGTAGACCAATGGGCAGTAGATATAAATTACTATTAAATTAGTGTTAAAACATCATTACAATGTTTGTTTGAATGTTATGTAAATAAAACCGATTAAAAATAAGCAATAGAAACCATATTTATACAGAATAAATAGTACGAAAAGAGATGGGGCACGAGGGTTGTAGGGGTGGGGTCATGGGGCCAAAACATCAGAAAGGTGAGGGATTTTTGAGATACCAGAGGCGGTGATGCGTATCTAAGGTGTTGTGATCAAGAAACTCGGAAGCTGAGAGTTAAATATAAATTACCCAACCGTAAACCTTATACATTCGAGGTTGTAAACGAGTTTAGTATAAAGCCGCCGTAGAGGTTGTATACTGATGGAGAAAAAAAATACGATGCTCTTTTAGACACGCTCTGCATTGCTACCATAATGTAGGCTACAACTTGACCAAGATGAATTGCTGAGGTGGAGATAAAATAAATAAAATACAAGAATTGAACGATGAAGACATATGAAAAATATGAGCGGAAGAATGTATTGAATCTGGCTAAAACTGTTAATGGGCAGTTGAAAAAGGGGATAAATAGATGGATGGATAATATAAGCTGCAATTGTGGAGATACACAGTGAATGCAAAGTCTTTAAATTTCTGCTATTAATATAGCATACAATTGTTTACAATTACTAATACATTCATGTTGATACTTTTATTTAATCTTCATATCGATTGGACTGTGCGTCTGGTGTACACATGTCACTGAAATGCACATTTAAATCATCAGTCATGGCATTGAATATTTAAAATACATTTAAATGGACCTAGATTAAGTAACGTGCTATTTTAATGGCGAATGCATAGTAATGTATTTCGTTGAGTTTTTAAATTTAGCTTTAGAATTAGGGCTATTGAGCTTATCAAAAGAAGGAAAAGTACATAAGTAATATATATTGTAAGGGAGATGGGTTTACTAACTGCTAGCGTGTTACAACGACAGGCAGTGTAAGGTGATTAATGAAAAGGAGGGAGTTCTAGAAAAGCCATACGTAAATTGAATATAAATAGTATTTCTTGTATGGGAATATATTTCTAAGTTGTAATGTAAGCAGGCAATAGATAATGTAATATTTCCTTTCTCAACAGACGTCTTTTGTTTTAATGATGGGGTAGATACAGGAACTATCAAAATAAGTTTATTCAATATTTTCTTTTTACAAAGAAAGTTTTCAAGCAGTGTGTGTATTATTGTAATAATGTGTTTTGGAAAATTGTGTATATTGTTTATAGATTTTCGTTACGTTTTTTAATCAATATGTATAATTATCATATAGTATAGAGGGATCAATACTTACAATATTTAAAACACAATGCAATATCTAAATATTTCTAATTTTTTGTCTTATACAGGGTTATAATGAACTCAGATTTGACATGAAGTATGAAGGTAGAAACTACTACGCTGTGTACAGAGGTTTTAAGGTAGAAAATGAAACAGCAAAGTATAAGATGAGCTTAACGTCATTCAGTGGTGGGAATGTTGAAGACAAGTTTAGTTATCATAAGGGCTATATGTTTACAACCATTGACTCTGAAAACGATATACACTCAGGTGTAAACTGTGCTGTAGACTGGAGTAGAGGTGGTTGGTGGTATAGGGATTGTCACAGGGTTAACGTCAACGGTGAATGGGCGAGTCGTGTTTATGATAAAGGAATGCATTGGTATAGCATTACAGGCTGGTCTGACTCTCTAGACTTTGTGGAGATGAAACTTCGTCGAATGTAAACAACCCGAAAACAATGCTGTGGTATCACAATGGATATACAGTAATCAAATTATTTATATAATCTTCAGGAACATAAGCAACATTACATATATTAAAATAAATAGATGTAAACATTTAACTAAGGCAATATTTTCTTGATGGTGAGTATACATAAGTAGTTTAAAATTAACATACATTAAACCAAAATTTTTATTTAAAAAAAATGATTTTAAAAACTACAACAGAGTTTGTTTTGCTATTATGATGTAATAAAGCCATGTATACACTCATCTAGAATTAAAAATCCTCATACATTGACCGTGTGTGTGTGTTAGCCATTAAAACATGAAAAAAAACCCGACTATGATGGTGTCATTTATTTCTTGCATATTCAAAACTAGACTAGTAGTGTAGTTGTAATCTACCACTATATCTTTAATTAGACATTCACTCGGATCGTGTGAAGTTCAACTCTAATAACGTGTGTAATGTTTGTGCAATTTTTTCAATAATATTTTTTCGCATAGTTTTTCGAAAGATATATATGCTATCCAACATTACATAAAGTAGAAAGTAACTGTTAATTTGGGATCTGTAAAGCTTTGTATTATAATTGTATTTGTTTAGTATGTTTACATGGACACAATTTTTGGAAAGCAACTATATGCATTTATATACACCTTTATTATAACGTCCACTTAATTTTTATATCAAGCCTCCCTTTGTGTAGTTTAAGGAATTGTTTGGTTTATATATTTACAAATACATCCGTTTATACAACTTATGGTTAATGTGTTAATGCATTGTTTTTTTTTTTTTTTTCGTTTGTTTTTTGAACACATAATAAAATCTTCGGAATTATCAAACATATAATAACTGTCGTTATTTTTTAATGTGATGAAGGCAATAATGACCAAGGCTAATTGTAGTGCGTAAATGAGTCCACACAGCTACGATTATGGAACATTGACTACGTTTTTCCTACTCATGTCGAGATTACAGAAACATCTTAACTCTATATAATTGTACTGTTTTTAGTTTGTTATCCTAGTATGAATCAATAACTTTATTAACTTAATGTTTCCATTTCTATCAGTATTTCGTCATGCGAGATACAACTGCTGATGTGGTCTGTAAATCCTGTAAGCTTGTCAGTTCCTCTAACGTGAATGTTTTCAATACAGGTCAGACCTTCCGACACCAGACCACTGCTGACAAGATTTTACCTTAATGTTATTTTTGGTATTAGCTCGAGTATTAGCTTTATTTTTTTGTATCTCTGGTCCTAGCTAAAAGTTGATTTTAGCATCGTGCTTTATTACTTTTCAGAATTCCCGTTAACAAGTTAGATGGTGTATAATGAGCCTAAAACGGTAATGTTCGTGTGTTAGAAATGAGAGATTGGCTTGTATTCTGAAGACGTGTGTATGTATGTATTCCCGGAGTATTGCTGCCATCAAAGACATTTGCAGGCTGTCACGGTAGGGGGAGCGTGACTGGGTAAAATGGGATACGAAGGTTCTATACGGCGTCAAACGTACAGACAAGGGGGCTACTGGGGAAATATTTGTGGCACAGCCTGTAAAGCACTCAAGGCGATAGCTTCCTGGTCTAGATCTTTCGAGTTTACCTGTTCTAGAAGTTGAGCGCTCGAGTAGAAATTGTACCGCTGGATATCCAGTGTTTTTCTAACTAATCTAAGATGGATTTAAAAATGGATTTATTAAACCTTACACATGAGAATATAAAAAATTTGCTGAAATTTAAAATAAAAGTATGAAAAAGGTGGAAGAAAAGAGCAAGTACAATATGAAGCACACATAAAATCAATGAGGAATTTGATAAAGAAAGCATTAGAGCTGAACTATTCAGACACTAATGGTATCGATGTTTTAGTAAAAAAATTGCTAGGAACTAAGATATCTATCCTAAACAAAAGAGACCAAGTAAGTTTTAATTATTATCAAATGATATCTTCAAGATTCCACGTAAGTAAATTGAACTTTTAATTTTTACTGTTTTTTTTACTACACGCACGATTAAACGGAGAAAGCATTTGGATTAAAGAAAAATCCTTTACTAAACTGTTTTCAAGTAGGTGTGATATTAATGGGGATATGACTGCGTCTATAATTTGAACTTAATTTCCCCAGTTTTTTTTTTAATTCACAAAAAATTACAAACACAATAACAACATGTGGATAAAAGGGGAAAAAAGTATTTAAAATTGATTCAAATTATATATATATATATATATATATATATATATATATATATATATATATATATATATATATGCCGATTTGCCGTCCCCCGTAGTGTTACATAATTTACGCTTTAATTTTAGCGTAGCACGATGTAAAGCTCTCGAATTTGTCTTAAAATATTCTGTAAACGAACATGCGTATGTTTTTTTTTTAAACATTTCCGTTTCGCCATGGCTATAATATAAATGATTGGAGCAAAGTCTATAAAAGTAAAAGAAATTTTTCCGTAAACCAGAAAAAGCATATGTTTATTAAAAACCTCTAGATTGATTCTCGAAGAATATTGAATATCATATAATTTGTAATGCACAGAAGAAATACTATATAACTTAATATGGTGGTCTAGCGGTAGAGAGCTGGACTGCTAACCCGTTAGTCTCGAGTTTGAATCCGAGTTCAAGTTAGTAGACCGTCCCTGAGTCCACCCAACTCTGATGGGTACCTAACTCCTGTTAGGGAAAGTAAAGGCGGCTGGGCATAGTGCTTACCACACTATCTCTTCATATGCCGAGGTCACAGAAACAAGTGAACTCTACTTCATTTGCCCCATAGACCGTCAGGTTTGAAAGGGAAACTTTACTTTTTTTTGTTTTGTTAATATGACATAAAATAAAATATATTTTATTCAACTTATCTGACTACATATAAGAGTTTTTTTAATCAATAAAGCGTTAAGTAAATCAGTCATTAAAACCTGACACTAAAAACTTCATTAAAACGACTTAAAAACAAGTTCTCATGTACTAAAGAGCAAGAAAAACGTATGCATAAATTATCAAAACCAAAGGCTGATTATGCGTGTTAAAATTTGCTTATATTTGTGTGAACAACTAGAATATATTACATATTTACCAAAATAAAGTGCATTTTATTGGTGTATATTCATAATTAGTCGCATGTTTACTCTATCACCGTTATTATTAACGTATGTGGCATGTAATAGTAATCGTATATTTGTAACTCTTACTTGGATATCAAAAGTTGGATGCTTTTTATGAACGAAAAATGGCATCCACTGGCCGTAGACTATCTTTAATAATAGGTTTCTAGGAGACTGAGAGATTGAAACTGAATCAGAATTAACTGAAGAAAGATGGCGCTGAATGTACCATATATTAAGGATGAGACCAGACAAAGTTACAACAATGGCGCTCGATTGTCAACCTGAAAGTGGACCTTAAAGGTTGAGGGAGACTTAGATACAGACAACAGAAAACTAAGTAGACTGTGAAGGTTGAGGGAGACTTAGATACAGACAACAGAAAACTAAGTGGACTGTGAAGGTTGAGGGAGACTTAGATACAGACAACAGAAAACTAAGTGGACTGTGAAGGTTGAGGGAGACTTAGATACAGACAACAGAAAACTAAGTGGACTGTGAAGGTTGAGGGAGACTTAGATACAGACAACAGAAAACTAAGTGGACTGTGAAGGTTGAGGGAGACTTAGATACAGACAACAGAAAACTAAGTGGACTGTGAAGGTTGAGGGAGACTTAGATACAGACAACAGAAAACTAAGTGGACTGTGAAGGTTGAGGGAGACTTAGATACAGACAACAGAAAACTAAGTGGACTGTGAAGGTTGAGGGAGACTTAGATACAGACAACAGAAAACTAAGTGGACTGTGAAGGTTAAGGGAGACTTAGATACAGACAACAGAAAACTACTGACAAGAGCAGAGAAAGTTGCGAAAGACTGGCTTTCTCCGGCGGCCCCATTTACCCTGGGTATCGACAGTAAAGGGTGATGATGATAAAAATAATGCAAAAATAATTTTTTTTTAACATTTTTTTCTGTAAACCAAAAACCAAAGTTGGCCGCCTTTGAATTAACATTTCGTTTTAATTGCAATAAAACTTAATAATTTTTCGAAACACCTTGAAATTACTTATTAAATGGAAAATCGAGATCAGTCAATATAAAATGTACGTCTTTATATTGATTATAAAATTCTGAATACATTTAAGAACTGCTGGAATTCATTTCCTAATTTTAATATCTGTCTCAGTTTTAATAGTTGTGTATTTTTACAAGCTTTTATTTAACTTGCTTACTATGTCTGTATGGGTTTAAACGGACGAGCCCCTTGGGACGGTTATTAGATAATCCACCCACTTACTTATCATTTGGATCCGCCTATAATTATCAAGCTTACATAAAAAGATATAAAGATACGTATCATTTATCGACCTGTTCAACCTTTGTAATACTTGCTCTAGTTCGAAATTTTCCAGCTGTGGTAATTTTAATTAAGTGCTCAGTAGTTTAATAAAATGTGTGGGTTAATTGCAGAACGTTATAAACAATATTATATCATATATTCCTTGTTACACAGAATATTTATTAAGTGTAATTTGCAAGTGACGAAGTGGACGGCCATTTTATGTAGATTATGATGTGACGTAGTGGACGGCCATTATAGCCAGGTTCAATGGTGACGTAGTAGACGGCCGTCATTGCTAGTTTTCACAGTGACGTAGTAGACGGCTAAAATTTCTAGTTTAAAACGTGCCGTAATGGACGGTCTTTGCAACTAAGTTCACTGTAATATTAGTGAACAGCTATTATAGCTACTCCAAAAAGTGGATGGCCGTTATAGCTATACTAACAAATGCCGTAATATATGACTATTTTACAAAAAACCGTAATGGACTGCCGTTACAACTAGGTTCACTGTAGGATTAGCGGACAGCTCTTATAGCTACTTAAAAATGCCGTAATAAATGACTCCTATACGCAGGTTATCAAGA